GAGCCTAGTGTAGCTATTTCAAAAATGCAGTAAATGATATTTATTTCAAGAACCTAGTCCAGAGGTGGCGCAAAGGAGTAGGGCACTGGCACCATATACCAGAGGTGACAGGTTCAAGTCCAGCCCTGGCCAAAAAAAAAAAAAAAAAAAAAAAAAAGAACCTAGTCCAGGCTCAGAGCTTCCAAATTTATCCCTCAATATATATGCAGGGTCAAGTCAAGTTAATCATCTATTTTGTGACTATTATTAATACTTAGGCCCTTCTATCCCACCTTTAAATTCATCAATTTAAGTACAATTTTATAGCTCACCAGCCCTTTCCACAAGCAGTAGTCATGTGACAGGAAAACAAAGTTCAAATTAGATTGGCAAAGAGTTGAAAGGGACTCTTGGCTAATTTGAAACTGAGCTTGTATATAAATTACATCATATGTTGTCTATGACATGGTATCCTTTTTTCTTTTTTTTAAGAGACAAAATCTCACTCTGTTACCCAGACTGGAGTACAGTGGTACAATCAGAACTCACAGCAACCTCAAACTCCTGGGCTTAAGCAATCTTCCTGCCTCAACTTACAGGTAGGACAACAGGTGTGTGCCACCAACGACATGGTGTCTTAACAACAACTCTGTGCATACCTGTTTGAGATAATTACTGGTGATATGAACTGAGACATCTTGGGACTTCTCCAGGCTCTGCAAACATCGTTCCAGGGTTCCAACAAAGCTCTCACGTAGATAATCTACTGAGCTAATTAGCTTGTTAGCCACTGCCTGATTAAGCCGGGAGATGATGAGTTCCTGGATCTGTCGAATGCAGTATTTGATCTCTCTGGTGCCTACTGGCTCTCCGTTCTCAGGAACAATGACATCTACAAAGGCAGAGACATAAGCCAGTTAGCTATGAGCAGATACACTAAATAAAGGCACCTCCCAAATCATAACCATGGAACAACCATGATGACAGCTATAAAAAATATGGTTCACTGATGAACTCTGATCCTCAGCTTGATCAGCAATCCTCAATAACTTAAAGCAGCTAAGATTCTGAGAAGGAACAATTAATTCTAGAATGAACCTGTTGATTTTTCTCAGCTTTTATGTCACATTTATAAGAGGGGAGGAACATTTATTGAGTGTAAACTATTTATAGGCACTATAATAAACATTTTATATATGCAATCTAAATTCATCTTTACTGTAACTTTGTCAGGTGGGTTTTATAGATCAGGAAACAGCCTCAAAGAGAGGTCACAGCTAACATTTGAATCCAAAGCTGGCTAATTTACACTGCCCAGCATATTAGTGAGAAAAAACTAAGAGTAAGGAGTTTCATACTAATCGGTTATAAGATAAATAACAAGGCTCGGCGCCTGTGGCTCAAGTGGCTAAGGCGCCAGCCACATACACCTAAGGTGGTGGGTTCGAATCCCCAGCCCGGGCCCACCAAACAA